TGCCTTCAAAAACGACTCGGTGTCAAGCCGACTCGGTTATGATGTTCAGCTACAAAACGTGCCTTCTCATGGGCATTTGCGCCTGTGTCAAGCAGTCAGTGTGCTCTGTGGCGAAAATAAACAAAACTCTCAACGTCAACGGTACAAGTCAAAAGCTGTTTCAAATCCTCATGGCCCTCATGGCACTCCGATTCATTTTCAAGTGAATTTCTGCAGAGTGTGTAGAGGTCGATGGGTGCACACGTCGACTATGTGGAAAATCATCAGGCGGCTAAGGCTACGGCCAACCCTAAACCCTAAACACTCGGCTGCTTCTATCAGTCTCTGCTTGCCCAACGAAATCAATGAATAACTCAATGTGTTTGTGTTTCATGAGGTATGCGGTATGCCGCTTATGTATGCACACAGGCAGGGTGCATACTTTGCCAAACATACGAATAACCAGTGTAATCACCATGCATCTGCATGTGTGCATAGTGCACTGCACTTCTGTTTCTGATGTCATCGAGACAATGAACTTTGAGCAGCAATACGATGTCACAAGCCTGCACATGCAAAGAGCGCGGGGTTGTTGTGCGCACCACTGCCACTGGAGTCTGCGAACCTCCACAAAGTTCTTCACGAGCACGAGCACTGTGTACTGTGTACAAAAACATTGCTGTTGGTAGCAGTGGCCTCTGTCTGGTGTGGCAGGTGGACGGATAGAAACATCCTGGCGAAGCCGAAACATGCCGAAAGGAAACAGAAAAGTGTCAAAGTGGGTGTGACTGGCCTGAAAGGATTGTTCAAATGTAAAGTGATGCCTACCTTGTCAATCAGGTCCCCTTCGGACGTTGATGAAATCCTGGCCTTGTATTGCTGCTGCACTTGAGCACTACCTGCAAAAGCTCCATCCAGCTGCCACTTCTGAGCTTCAAACAGGCTTTGTTTGATCTAACCTGCCTGAGCTTGCAGAGGCCACAGCAGGTGCCTGACATTTCAGCGCGTCACGGTCACACGTTCTGAACCAAAAAGACAAGGCCAATCCCAGCTCTCTATATATTGCAGCTATGACTATATGATGCTATGCTTAATCGAGGTTTCACGTCCTTTCGGGCACCGTGTATTCGTATCGGCAGGCCCACACAAAATGCATTTTCCGTTTTCGAATATTTGAGAAAAACAAGTGCACCTGGTCACATGGATCATCTTTTTCTGGCTTTCAAGGCGTTCGCTCTTTGTGGCGGTATACCCACTTGAAAAGTCTGTTCCACAGCCTGGGATTCAGCCATCCTTTTGATCAATTCTTGCTTTGTGGCGGGATGAACTTCTTCATCCACCATACGCTCACCCACGCTGCGGCAGTGTCGAAGATGCACTGTCTCGCGTTCAACAAACAAACGAACGAACGAACTAACGAACCCCCTGTGAACACATGTTCGTGAACAACCATCAAAACCCTGTCCACAAAATACTCAACACCTCCCAGTTAAACAATGAGTGTTCAATCATCCTTCTTACCGCTGACTAAAAACCTTGTCTGTAATTCAATGTCAGTTCGAGCAATTTGTCAAAGTGAATCAGCCACAGCGGCAAAACCAGCCAGAAAAGATCAAAGAGGCTTTGAACCCCGCTTGCAGTGATTGCAAAACTTTCTGAACAAGTTCCGCCTGCTGTGCTCCAAGAAGAACAGGTGCACTTCGCTGCCTGAGCAAGTTATCTTACGTAAGTCTTTACTGACTGGTGTGGAACATGCATCCACTGCCCGCGAGCGCCTGCACGGTCCAGGCATCTGAGTAAAAACGCACCTAGCAAACCCGGGAGCACGCAGCTGAAAGTGACCAGGGACAAGACGACGGATAAGACACTGTTACGATTTCTAAGGATTCTTGCTGCTGCGGGGCCGCAGACAGGCCTGCAAAATCTCGCGACTGCTGTTTTCAAACCTTTTCAATCTTGGGACTGTAGGATTGCCACATGATGTCACTGCATTTCACCGCAGTCGAGCCTCTAAGGAAAGGCGCTTGCACCTGTTCTGAGCTTTGTTTTGAATGCGAATTGAAAAGGTGCCAAAGCCAGTGAAGCCAGTTCTCGTTACCAAAAAGCCTTGCTCAATTTGACCAAATCTTTGAGCCAGTTCTCGTTACACTGTGGCATCGTGCCGGCCTGTGGACTCGAAGGTCGATCACGTGGCATTTGTGCCTTGGCGAGGCGATCATCGAGCGACATGCTGTGGACATGACCAGTGTTCAACCGCTTCAAATGGTCAAGAGTGAATTTCAGAAACGTCCTATAGAAATCAATTGCTTGGAGGCCATCGCTAGTAGGTTGAGGCCATTGCTATTAGGCTGGAGGCCAACGCGAATAGGTTGGAGGCCATCGCTATTAGGTTGGAGGCCATCGCCAGTAGGTTGGAGGCCGTCGCTAGTAGGTTGGACGGTTGGACGACATTGCTATTAGGTTGGAGGCCATCGCTAGTAGGTTGGAGGCCATTGCTATTAGGTTCGAGGCCAACCCGAGTAGGTTGGAGGCCATCGCCAGTAGGTTGGAGGCCATCGCTATTAGGCTGGAGGCCATCGCTAGTAGGATGGAGGCCATTGCTATTAGGTTGGTTGCCATTGCTATTAGGTTGGAGGCCATCGCCAGTAGGTTGGAGGCCGTCGCCAGTAGGTTGGAGGCCATCGCCAGTAGGTTGGAGGCCATCGCCAGTAGGTGGGTGGAGGCCATCGCAAGTAGGTTGGAGGCCATTGCTATTAGGTTGGAAGTTGGAGGCCATTGCTATTAGGTTTTGCAAAATGTTGATTTGGAATGATTCAGAGGTCCTTGTTGCACTCCGGGCTCCCGACAAACTGAAAAGCGGGGCCAGGCCTCAGGCAGAGTGCACTGAGAATGAAGTTGTCCAGTTCCGGTCCAAAATGCCCAAAGATGTGCTGTTTCTGCTGTGGCTCTGTATGCTGCTCAGAAGTACTTGGGCCTAGAGGAGCGCAGGGTTTTGGAAGATCTGAGATGAATGATGAATGCTATAGCAGGTTTCCCTCTAGTTATGAAACTGGGCGCGCTTTGAACAGACTATGCCCACTTTGAGTCCTCGGTTCAACCTCGGTACCTCGCCCACTTTGAGTCACCGACACACCCGGAGAGGCTGCGTTTAGCAGGGGAGCGGACCTGAAATAACACGTTACACTTGGAGAAACGCACTTAGCTTCCGAGCGTCACACACGCGCGGTATGAGCTGGTTCAGCATGTGAATGTCATTCAGTCTAGTGAGCAAAGGCTCCAGTGTCCGCGCATGCAATGGACCATCAGTGCCGTGACCACTCAGAGAGTCAAAGTCCTCTCAGCTCCTTGCGGAGATGACCGCAATTGCGGGGCAATCGTCGCTACCTTCCCCGACAAACACTCCAAATTGCGTCACTCAACTTCCATTCAGAAACATGAACAAACAATGCATCCGCGGATCTGGTGGCAGGGCTGCCAAACGCGTAGAGTTGAAACATTACAATGTGAGCTTGGGAGATTTGCCCTGAGCTAAGGTGCAAGGATCTTTGATCCTGTCTGGCATGTCTTGCTCCTGGGAACACTAATCTGCCAAAACGTACTTAGACTATCAGTTGGTTCAGGATGTCGAAGGCATCATGACTGGAGAATCCAAGTGAAGAGTTGCAGTTGCATCCTGTTGCAGTGGCTTTGAAGGCAAAGGCTTTTGAGGCAAAGTCTCCTACAATGGAAACTCCAAAGTCTTGGAATTTCACCATCCAAAGAACGGGGCAGTTGATGCGCATCCAATGATCAGCTTAGTTAAGCAAAGGAGCTCAGCGGCTTTGCGTGCGCCAAGTGCCGCATGGTTGGTTTGTGACATGGCCCAAAGGCAGTGAGAGCTTGTGGACAAGGGAATGTGGAACATACAAACAAAACATGTGCAGAACAAGTGGACAGTGGATGTGGTATGTCACAGCAAGGCTAGCATTTTGTTGAGAGACGCAATCAAATTCCAAGCCTCCACTGGCCTCGTGATCACAGGTGTAGGTGTAGGCGCCTAGAGTTGGGAATAGGTGCTTGATCTGTCAGATGGAAAAGATCAGACAGGATGACAGCTCTAACTATGTCACAAAGAACATGTCTTTGTCGGTACATCAAATGTGATTCCCCGAAGAGCCAAGGGCTTTGCCCGGTTCCATGGCACTGAAAACAGCTCCTCAAGGACAAGTCGAGAGCTACAAGATGCTTAAACATCTAGAATGTAGGATTGATAGGAATGGATGAAACTTGCAAAACTAAATACATTGCTTTCAAGTCAGCAATGCAATTCTGTCGCATTCCTCGACCGCCTTGGCATCGCCCTTAAAGATTGGACCTTTTGCCCAAGCAGAGAGGTCGGCCTCCCAGAATTGCAAGGGTCGGAATACCTCTAAGTTTGGTCAAAAAGTTTCATCACATGCATCACTCATTATGCAGCGGCATGTGCCATGTTGCTTTTGCGAAGGATATATATATATATAATGGTATAAAATGTTATGTAATGTTAAATATAGGATTATATAAGTATATAATATTGTTTCAAACTTCCGAGCCTGTGGTGGGGCCGGGTACCACGACCGCATCTGCACTCACCATGGGATGACCATGGAAGCTGAACAGCGGCAACTTACCAGCTGTAAGTTCCGTTCTCATAGGTTATCCAACTCTCCAGAAAGCCCTTGCACATTGGATAAGACGACACATCTGTTCTAGACTACATGGTATTACTTCTGTGTTCAGTGTAATGACTTCCAGAGTGGATTCGGCTGACAGTATGGCTTGCTTGTGGAGTAGTCTTCTAGGCTCTGTTAGTTTATGTTGCATGTGAGATCTATCAGGTTGCAATGCAGCAAGGTTTCATCAGCAACGTTTCATCAGGTGTGTCTCGAGTCTCAAGTGGCCACTGCTCCTGAAATGTTCCATGAGTTAGGCTTGCAATGAGGTTCTCGGCAGTGCCATTTTTCGCAAACGAGGCTTCTGTCAAGCATAGCTGCTTGAAAGGGCTACAGTATATGTTTTGAAGAAGAATCGTCTCCAGAATCAATCGAATACACATCGGAATAGAAGTCCGGAATTTCAAGCAGCCAAAGGGCAACTCCGCCGGTCGTTAACTCAGCATGCAGCATTCATGGCCTCAGAGTTTCCGTCTCACATGCTTATCTTTGAATCTTTGACCTGGAACGTTCCAAAAGGTTTTTGTTCATGAAAAAACACTGAGTCGGGAAGAAACGGTTTCATCCTGAGCATCAGACTCGAAGCCACGCCGACGCTGGCAGCAGGTCCTACTCCGGAGACGTGAGTTCCTGACCGATATCTGCACAAAGTAAAATGTGCTCAGGAGATACCACTGATATCCAAACAATTCCAAATACATCCAAACTGTACCCATGCAATAATTATGCTTCTCTGCTCGGTGCTTTCTTGTCTCAAAAACCTCAAAACCTGTGAACAATCTGTCTTCAGGGGCCTGAGATTTGGGAGTAATTTTGCTTCTTAACAAGGTGGCATGACGTCCAGTCAGACAGGACACAGCGTTGATCAAATCTACAGGCTTCATCCTACGCTTCACATGGAGTATCGAAAAGCTGCAAATGTCAAAAGACTCTAAAAACTACCGCAAATCCGATCAAATCAGTTTGTTCAGCACAGTCCCTCAAGTTGGGCTCAGTCTGAGGCCCCGGACAGCAGCGCCCAGGAGTGAAGACCATAAGAAGCATCTAAGAGTACTAAGATCGATTGCACCACCTACAGAGTTGCAAACCCCAACGAAGAACGAGGGATCAAACTTCTCATCGTGCGCAATAAAATGCAAGTCAAGGGCTGAAAAATATGATGTGTCGCCGTACTTTTTGATCTTCGCTCTAGTTCCTCTACTGCCGGCAAGCCAGGCATTGTCCTGCTTCAACTTGAAGTTTCCATGATGCAGGGTCCACCATCAAGAGGTCCAAGGCGTCGGCCAAGTCCAAAATATTTGGATTTCCAGACATGTCGATTTCTCGCAGAGTCTGCGGCGGACTGCCTCTGATCCCCACGGACAAGAAGTTCCAACTCAAGTCTATCCTTTGCAGGCGCTTCAGGGCGAAAACTTCCGCCACATCTCCTCGGATTTGGTTTCTTGAGACTGACAGTTCTATCAAGCTTGCAAGCCCAAGCAATGGGCCAAAGTCCTTCAGCGCGTTCTCGTCAAGCTTCAAAATCCGCACACCGAAAATTAAGGCGGCAGCTGTTGGCGCCAAATGCTTCAAACCCAAATTTGCCAGGTTCAGTGGATGCTGCCATCCTTCCAGACTCCAATCATACGAGCGCCGGTGCAAAACAGCATTGGCCTTGGAATCTGCATAGAAATTTGCGCGCAACGGATCTAATGAACTCATGCGCTCAAAGTCTTCCAGTGTGGTCTCTTCTGGTATAGAACATGCAAGCTGAAGGCGCATTCGAGCAAGCAAAGCCCATCTGCAGTCAGGCTCAATTTCAAGAAGTTCCTCAATTCTTGCCAGTTCTGCCTTCAGAATCTCACTTTGTTCCAAAGGCAGCTGATGTTCAAACGTTGCAGTTGATGGTGTATCACTGTCCAAGTCAATTGGCTGGCCTTTGAAAGTGCACTGCGACTGCTTCAAAATGCCTGTCCCACAACTCTCTACTGCAACCTCTACTTCCACAGTTTTCTGCACAATTCTGTCATCTGTCACGAAGCGCCATCCTACGGCCCAGCTGCGCACACGGGCCGTCGAGCGCCTTCGCGGGAGGATGGCTTCGAACCGGCCACTGGAGCCGTTCAACGAAGTGGAGGTAAGTCTGCAGGCTTGGGAAAAGAACATGTAAAGCTCTCCTTGAAGAACGGCACAATGAATGATTTCGGGTGATGTTGAACCAAGAGTCAGCCACTGGTGGTAGAGCCATACAGACTGGTCATTTGGCTCTGTGTAAATTCCTTGCTGAACCCATTCCAGTTCTTCTTCTAGATTGAGTTTGATTCGCGGTTCTTCTCCGGCTACAGGCTGTTGGAGCAGCGTTCTCAAGTGCCAGGCAGAATAATTCGAGAAGTTCTTGTTGATCAAATCTGTGCTGAGTGTCAAGTCAATGGCATTCAAATCCATTTGATTTGGGTCGTGTTTACCCTTGGTCCTCATTAAATCCATCACATACATACGATGGTTCCAGCAGTGAAAGTTTCGTTCATCAACCTCCAAGAGCTGATTGCACAATTCAAGCTCTGTGTTCAGAAGACTTTGTGCTTTTGCCTCATCTCCCTCCACCTCCTGGAAAAGGCGCTCGATGGCCCATTTTCGGTGAAACCAAATGGAGTACACCTTCTGAGATCTTCTCAATGCTTTCTCGACCAACTTCATCTCCATCTTCAACAACTCCTCAAGGGGCTTCTCTGTACGGGTGAGAAGCTCCCGTCTGTAGCCCCACAAGGTTGGGAACTCCGGATGGAATTGGAGAGCCTTAAAGGTCATCTCCAAAGCTTGATCATTGTATGTTTGGCTCTGTCTTAGATCCAAAAGCTTTGCAAAGAGGCTGCGCGCTGTGCGAACTTGCTCCCTCTGCTTTGCTTTCTCTTCGGCGGTAGGCTCCACGACATCCTTCTTGACCCGGCCATGCATGCTGCTAGTGTGGCTTGATGCCTAGAGGACGTCGTTTTTCAGCGTCTGGCGTCTTGTTGGCCCAATGTCAATGAGCGTCGGTATAGCTCAGCTATGTGTCCGTGCCTTTTGTCATGCCTTTTGTATAAAACAGTTGGTATAAATAGGCATAAAAGCTTCGCTGGATGTGTAAAGGCAAGGCTGTTGTTTGCCAGGGTTTGCTTCAATTCGTTACGTAAGTATGCGCAGTGAAAGCTGGAGTTTCTCCTAAAGATGAGCACAAATGTGAGAGAATCTATATTGCCTAACACAGAAGTGCTGGCAAGAAAAGAGTTCTCATATGACCACCTTCAAAAGCAATTCCAAGTGTTCCACCAGGTTAATGAGAAGGATCGCCACTGCCGCATACAAATGAAGCCTTGAGCGAAATGCCAGAGAGGCTGCCTCTCTCTCTCTCTCTCTGGATTTGAAGGTGTGCAAATGGCAATTTCCATCAATTTCCAGCTCACTGGAATGTCACAAGGCACTTTCGAGATATAGTATGTGACGTGCCCAAAGTACACATGTTCTTCGATTGTCTGTCTGCAATCCATTCTGGGATATTGGCTGATGGCCCATCATGTTGACATACCTGGACAAAAGAGTCCATGCAAATCAAGCTCTCTTGTGATCAAAGTATAGCTTGCGCCCTGCGCCCTCATCGCATCTTCAAATATAAAAATCGAAGCTTACAGTCCTATGCAACTCCAGTTGCTGCGCAATGCAGGCAAGGCACAAGTATTCAACCACCATGTCATATCGATGCATTGTTCGAGCAGCAGCCTGCGCAAAACAAATTATATAAATCTGCAGATAAAGGCAGCTGGAGTCTGTTCGGAACAATTCTAATGAACAGCCTTTCTCACTGGTGCGGCTGGTGTATGCAATATAGTTATAAGTTATATTGATCAAAATGTATTGCTAGTCCTTCGAGGCCCTGAAAGTGGACAAAATCTCCGAGTGTCTGTCACAACCACTCGTCAAACTAAGCGTCAACACCCTAGCGGGCGTCTGCTCATGAGGAACATGACAAATTGTCCCATTTCTCTGCTGTGGTGTCTCATGGTGTCTCATATGGGTACTGCTAAGTGACCGATGCGCCTGTTTGGCGGATCGCTCTGTTTCCGATCGCTCAGGCATTTGCTTCCAGTCCAGGTTGGGACGGAGCCTGGTGAGTCGTGACTGTCTGAGACCGTCTCCCATTTCGGAGCACCGAAGACTGTGGGTGTCCGGCAGGAGCCATGCTGTCAGAAGGGCCAGGCTCCGGAAGACCTTGGACACTGTATTATATAGAAACTTCATACCGCTTCCGCCGCTACCTAGTTGAATGATGTTGAATGCACGTGGCACTGATGCAAAAGCCATCAACTGCGGAAAGGGAAAAACTGCAAGGAGTGGAAAAGTTGACAGCCCAAGAGGCCATCTTGGGAGCAAACGACTACTGCCTTCCTATGGCGCTGCAGCTCAAGTAGCTCTAGTAAGTGCAAAGTGAAGAGATTGTCAATATAAAAACATATGCGAGAATTGATCGAACACTGGATTCAAAAGATTCAAAGAACAAAAAGTGCTGTCTCTTCTACTAAGCGAACGAATGCGGAGTCCAAAAATAAATTGTTCTTTAGAATCGCTCATTCCCTCATAGCCAGTACTGTCAAATGTTGTCCAGCTGCTAACCAGTATTGGGGTGTGCTTTTCCTCTATCGATAAATGGGCTTATAAATTTCTTAACAGATGAAATGCACGGCTTTGTCTCAAAGTCTTAGATAGTGACCCGCAGAGCCAGGATCGCGATCGTTAGCAAGACCAGCCTGTGTGAATTCATGACTAGTCTGTGGCGGTGCCACTAGGCCCTAGTGATCCTCTTTTAGTTTGTAGCTGCTTGTCGTTCAAAGACAACTCTGAGTGCCATGCATATCCAGCATCGGCACATCTGTCAGAACAGGCCTCAACACATCAGGGAGATGCCTCATGACTCAAAGCATCTCAAAGCTTTTGAGCAATAAGTTGAGAAAATATCCCTGTCCATTCTCTCAATAGGTGTCTTCAAAAAATAGGAATATATAGGGGGAGGTGTGGTTCCTGAACACACCTGCTGAGATCCATGCACAATCAGCCACATTAGCGTGGTCAGCAACGTGATGACCTCAACGTTCCAGGCGCAGTGTCCCAAAGCTTCGACGGCTGTTGGAGGCGGGCAAACTAATACCAGCTTGATGGCACATATCACATATATGTGGCTCTGTGCCTTTTTGCTGCCGTGAGGCCTGAGGCTGTCAAA